GTGGTAAATTGTTTTCTCCTGCTTCAAATTAAATAATACTACAATCTTTATTCATTGCGGGGTGAGCAAAGTTCCACAGCAACTCTTTTACTGGAATTCAATTTTCCGTTACGGTAACGAAAACATGACTGACTGCCGCCGATCCGGAAGACGTGACCGCGCTTTCTCCGCGAAAGATAGATGGATCGATAAGAGTTGGCAAATATTTATTCTTCGCAACGCGATCCGGGGAATTCCGAATTCATAGTTTTCCGGAGCGCATTTCCGTTGGTCTTTCTTTTTTAATTCGTCGATCTTGAGCGGAATTGAGCTCTCCTGGCGACGTCTGAATAAAACAGCGAGTATTCCACGCGCGTGCGGGGAAAAAGCTATCGCGTTCCTTTCCTTGAGATTTGCCCGATTATCTCCGGCTGCATGAATCGTATCGCTTTTTTTCTGCTTGCTGCAGAATTTCCGCTTCTCCCGTCTGACTGTCGCACGAACGTCATGCTGGAACGAAGCGTAGAAGTAATTTCACGGTAAAAGTTCCGGACGTTTAGGTACCTATTTTCCGGGTTTTATCCGAAGCGCAGCGAATACGCAAATATAAAGGTTTTCGGTTAAATGTATCGCGATAATCGTTCGGCGGTATGTTAGGTTTACCTGGAATTTTTTTGTTTTCGGTAACAAAAATCTGTTTGCCTCCGTTAACATCAATTTGTTAAGTGCCATCCATTCAACATTATACATGTATATGTATAAAATGTAATTATTATATATATGATATGTAATGTATATTTCTCATTAAGTTTGCATATTTTTATTTTGGATTTTTAATTAGGTCACGGTTTTAATAACTTACAAAAAAATTGAGATAAACTTGTAATTAGCAAAAACAGATGTAAATAAATTAAAAAATTTTGCCGACGGAGCAACTTTAAGATAAGTAATTTTTGTTCAAAAATTAAGATAAATGGCAGTTAATGATGAATGTTAATGTAGTTAAAAATATTTCATAAAATATGTGTAATATAAAGTACAGATTAAATTTACATTTTTATAATTTTAATGGCCGGTTGAAAAAGTTAAAGCTATTAAATTGGCAATTAATAATGAATGAATGTTAATGAAGTAAAATGGTTTTATTCAAGAGATGATAGCAATTTACATTTCTTTCTGTCTTTCTAGCACCGTCATGCCCGTCATTCGTGAGACGTAAACGTTTGACGAACTTTATTAAAGTTTCAAATTTTTTTGAATTGTGTGTTTCAGGACAACCGCCGGATTTTCTCGCGTTCGTCATCACGATATTGATGATGCTGCTGATGGCGGCGGGCGTGAAGAAGTCCCTGGTGTTCAACAACGTGCTGAACGCCATTAATCTCGCCGTCTGGGTCTTCGTCATGGCGGCGGGCATGTTTTACGTGGATTCCAGCAACTGGTCCGAGCACAAGGGTTTCCTTCCTTACGGCTGGAGCGGGGTAAGTACACAAATTAAATGTATAAAAGGGGTTTCTTATAGGATTAAATAAAGCTGAGAGACTTGAACGATAACAATTAAACGATAATGCAAAATAATAATCCAAACGTATTAATAAATAAGGAAAAATAATGAAAAAACGTTGATTCGAAGAGATGTAAAGTCCGATGGCTTATTCGTGTTTTGCTTCGCAGAACGAGACGATATTTCGCTCGTTCGCTTTACAAGTTTCGCACAAATAATTTTGCGTACAAAGAGTTGTTGAACAATGGTGATTCGCTTTATCGTTGCGATATTAATGCCAGCAGGCTTCGTCGCACGGTTCTCAGAGCGAATAACAGAGAAAGAGAAAACAACGAGTGTCTGGAGACAGAATAAAAAAGCTCTCTCGGCTGAAGTCCCCTTAGCGTGTCTTTTTCCAGCTGCTCTCATATAGATCCGACCCCTCGTTCTCATACTTATGTTTCGTGTCAATGGCAAGTGGGATTATGTCGCTACATTTTGGAATTTGCATTAAAGCATAAGTCAATATTAACTTAATAAAAAAAGAGATTGCTAGTAAGAATTATTTTAAAAATTATTTATCTGACAAAGAGTGGTGAACGGGCTTGTTATATTAGCAAACTAAGAATAGAAATTATAAGAGAAGTATTGATAGCAATAATAAATAAAAAGGTAAGAATATTAAGAAATTGTTTCTTTCTTCGCTTATATTTGAAAAAAATTATTATAAATGGTTTTTATTTGCTTGAGAAAGTTTTTAGAAACCAAAAATTTGTCGTAATTTAATGTTTTTAAATATTTTAGATGCGTTGTACAACGCGATTTTTATCAATAGGTTTCTTATAAATGATGACGTTATATTTTGAGGTAAAGCTTCGCGTAAAATTAAAAGCACAAAAGCGCGCTTTAAAATAATCCTGTTTATTTAATGTTTTTTTATCGTATGGTTCGCGTAACCGCGACCTATTATAATGTACAGAGACAACGGTCTCAACGAAAATCTCATACGCTCAGGCGCCATCACGCACGATTCCGGCTGGAATTCCAGCCGCTAGAGGCTGGCAGAGAGATTTTCCGCCCGCGGCTTACAACAATTCCGCGAAACAATGGCAAACTTGTTGCACCGAGTTACGACCAGCAGACGTTCCGAGAAATGACAATAATCGCGAAGAGGGTAGCCCTATTTACACACGGACGAACGACAGACGACGTATAAGTCGGTGGTGCTGGCAATCGATAATGCGAGGTAGCTCTGCATATCGGACATCTCGTTTGGATTGCGAGAAATAGAGAATGAGATTCGTGAAGAATGAGGGATTATACACTTGAGCACGTTTAACGCCGGGGAATACAAAGTTGTTATCTATAGAACCACTTGTAGAAATACAATTTGACTTAACATAATTTGACGTAAATTGATATTACGAGATTGTCACGAGATTACAGTGGCAAAATTACAGTGATTAGTCTGATTTATATAGAAATTAATACGACAAAGTGAAACTGTTTCTCTTCATATTAAATTATTATGTTATCATTGTATATCATCTGTTTTAAATATATTATATCTACATAACGGAAACAAAATATCTACAGTATAATGTGCAGAAATATTTTCTGTTTATTAGATGGTCGAGCATTTTATTTTAATTTACAAATCGATATATATAAGGACAGCCAAATGCGACTTGATTGAAATTCATCATTTGTGAGCTAAATGGTAATGCAATTTGCATATCGCGGATAGGACCGAAAAATCACGCGGTTTGTCAAGTAACACATAAGCCATTAGCGGATGCACCCGCGGCGATGAAAGAGTGCATCCGGCGAGAGTGGTTGGACACCATCCCCACGTTTCGCCGCGTCAGAAAGAATAATAATCCGTACGTTCCGCGCGCAATCCTAAGGGAAATAAATTAAAAACCTGTCCGAGGCAGGATGCGCCGGCAAAAACAGATCCGGCAATCCGTTTTGCCGTGAACGGCTCTCGTTCTCTCCGCTATCGGCGTGTACATCGTGCGCCGTTGTTGAAGAAAATTCGATGTATTTTGCGAATAGCGCTCGCAGCGGCGCTCGAAAATTTAATGCAATTGTTTATCGTATCATGGTATGACAATAATTAACTTTGTGAACAAATTGTTTTCATGAAACATATCTTTATTCTCTAATTTCTCGTTTACGCTTTAAATGTATTTTCAAATCTGTTTAGTGAAATTACAGATATTATAATTAAATTTCCAAAAATTTTTGGAAATTGCATTTGTAAAGCTTTTCCAATTTATTGTTGTAATTATTTTTATTATTGAAATGACTAAACTATTTTGTTTTGCAGATATTTTACAATTTATTGCTGTTAAAAGATATACGAATATCAATAGTCTGCTTGATGAAAATTTATAACGTAACATTTGTATAACATAATTCATATCGCCACCTGATAAGATAACTATGACAACTTTTATGGCTTATATATGATTGATTGCAATGAACATTGTACAATTTGAACGAACATTGCGATGACACGTGATCCTGGTAATATACATTCGCGCACAATATATCGCGCCCCGCGTCCATTTTTACGCGCTCTTCGCTTCGAGTGCCGGACAAACCGCAGTCTGTTTATTATCCTATTATTTTATATATCGCGAGCTCCTCTTTTTTGTTCCATTCCATGTCAATATCCCATTCCAATCAGCATATAACATCGCCACATATGGCACATACATTCGAATTGTAAAAATAAACGATGTCCGAGGATTCGTGGAATACTAAAAATTAATTCGTTTTATATAATAGTTGTGAAGTATTCTTTTTCAGATTTTTTTTTTAATTGATGAATACGTTGGATCAGAAGCAATTAATAATGTTACCGTCGGTTTAGAGCATTGAAAACAGCGCATGACACTTCAGCAGGCACATATGATATTCACAGGTGAGAGCAGTTTGATATCTACCGAAAGGAAAAAATTTCAAAGAGTATTTTTGTGAAATAATGTTACAGTTATTTATTGCATCAGCGTGCAGTACGGAGAAACGTTCGCTTCGAAATTTATCTCTAGGTCGTATAAGAAATTTGATTTAGCATTTTTACGCAGAAATCTATACACTGAGCAAATGTTTAATTAACTTATACGATGGCCCAATTTTTTAACAACTTTAACGATTTCAGTAAATTTTTTATTTGCTCTTTGCATTCCGCGTATAAATTCGCATTTATCCGTTCGCCGATACTGTCGCAGTGTGTATCACTCGATTGCTTATACGGATAGCATAATTTGACGGAATTCATTCTTTCATTTGCATTAGAATTAGTTCCACGGAGTCTTCTGCGTCGACAGCCTGCGATGTCGGCGCGTGCCGCTGCAGGACCTTTGACTTTTATAGCTTGCGATTATCTAGCGGTGTCACAGAGCGGAGTGAGTTGACTCCGCCACGATCATTTAATATCGCGACGATGAATCGACTTACTTACTCTTGCGATCGTATTACCCACGACGTTGCTGAAATTAATGACTTGCGATTCTTTGCGCCGGATACACGGCGTCTTTTTCAAGTATATATATGTATATATCTAATCCCCCTTCTCTCAGTCGTCGCTTTAACAAATTTTCATTACGTCTCGCACGAAGATTAATATCGTTGCATCTGCGCATGTATAAATTTCTTGAAATAGAAGAAAATTTTGTACGAAGAGGTATGAAGCTTCTCAGATATTCAATCAATAAACTATATATATTAAAAGCCAATAAAAACCAAGCGCTGTTGACGATGCGAAATTAATTTTTCAATAATCTGAGATTGACTAACGAACATTTTTCTTCTATTTAAGCTTCAAAAGTGGATCTTATTGATTTGATAAAAAGTCAATGAGACAATTAAAAATTCGATTATTGGCGTAAATATATAAGTGCAGAGTTATCGATTTAGGTTTATCAATCAAACATTGGAGTGCTTTTATGCTTTTTGAATAAATTACACAGAATTTTGTTTTGTTTCAAAAAATTTGTGTGCATACATCAGCACAACGATATGCCGTTACAAATCTGAAATTCTATGCAAAATTAATTGTTTAAAAAGTCAAGCGCGATGTAAAATAAATTTTTTATTATCTACTTGACTTTTATCGTTCAATTAAGTATATTTGTGTCATCGGAGTAAAATTGGCAGAAAAAAACAAACAATTAAAGATGATTGTCAACGCGGATTAATTCGAGCCTTGTCTTTATTAAATTATAGCGGTGAATGGAAGTCGGGTATCCCGCAGAGTGCCAAATATTAGCACAGGATCATTACGCGACCCGACTCTGTGGATTTCCGAAAAGCGCGGCAAATCCACCGTGCCGCAAGTTAGAAACAAAGGAAGACCCTTTCAGACGCTTTGCGCGGAGGAGGATGCCAGATTACAGGAAAATGTAGGCGGTCTTTAAGCCAGGGCAACTCGGGTTTCTTTGTGATCCCGCTCCTAAACCCGCCTAACTTCCCGTCGTGTCCATTAAAGCCGGAGCCCCAGAGCATCACGTATACCTTCAATCTCTGAATATCGCCCGGGCGAAATTTCGCGCCACGTACGTGCAAGAAGTTGGGATCCGCGCGAAAGATGTATGTACGTATGTGTGTGGGAAGAAGGAAAATCCCCTCAAGGGCTCGCTTGACGGTAATTCTACGACGGATGTAAAGATGCTCCTCCAGCTTCTTTGACACACGATGTTTCGCGGCGGGAGGGTTTTCTCCGGATAAACTGGTTCTCCGCGCTCTTCTGGTTCCCGTGAATGTTTGATAAAACGCAATGATTTCCCAACCGATTCCTGAGCGTATCAAAATTCATTTTTCACCGCCAACCGCGCTTGTGACTTTTATTGATCTAAGGTAATTAAATGATAAAATATGTAACTTTGTCTTGTGGAAATGTAGTGCAATCTCATTACGAAAGTATTAATGCGCTTTCTAAGCAAATTGCATTAAATAAGTTATCTGAAGTGTGACATAAAATTAAATAAATTACGCGAGTGATGTACGAAGATGAGTTGAAAAGTTTCCGAAAAGTGGTTATTAAAAAATATTTTTTAAAAACTAATGGTTATTTAAAAAAAAATATGGTTATAAAAAGTATTTTTTATTGGAATATAGAAATAGAACAATAGTTTATTTATTTTTTACATAATTATTTTATCCAGATTTGACAGTTTTTCCGATAAAAATCTTTTCTATAGTCTTTCTCTATTTCCAAGGTTTTTCTTTTCTAATTCAGACCACTGCATTTTTCAATGTCAATCTTTCTTACTATTCTTGGCCTCTTTCTTATTTCCTCTTCTCTTCTCCTTTCTTCTTATTCAGGATGCGCGCTTGTTTATTGTCTACGGCTGCGGTTCCGTTGATCTTTGAGCATTCCATTCGCGATCGCAATTCCCGTCGAAATCGGAGAATAAATCAATCAAGCGAAATGCAATACGCGAGGATGTGCCTCGGCTTTCTAGTGCTGGCTCTCTGAAGATTTATCCCCTTTTCTTCCGGTACAATCTACGTTTCCAGAGTCGCGCTATATTTTCAAGAAAGATGTGAAATTTCTCTGGTATTGTTCATTCTTGTTCGTCCATGAAAGCTCTGTGTTTCATGCGAAATAATAACCGCATTTGCGGAGAAAATGCTGATGTTTTTTGTTGAAAACAGCAGCAATCTTTTATTTACTGAAATTTAATCGGGTGTCAGTCTTTGCACTTTTTGACATATTAAATACGCGGTGGAATTTTTTAAATTAAAGTGCATAAAAAATTAGTTCAGATATATGGTTTTTTTTTTAAATATTTTAATAAAAACATATTTGATTTCTAATTGTTATGTATCTGATGAAACTGTGGACGAAAAAAAGGGAAACGAGGTGGTTTGTCGACAAGAACGAGATTACCCGGTTTGGTTGCGATGCACCACCTCGTTTCGACATTTCTCAATTTGCTTAATTGCGACTGCTTAACATTCAACGGAGTGTAATTTGCCTGAAAAAGCCACGAATTCCGCGACAATGGACCAAAAGTACCATTCTCTCTTCTTTTATCTCGCATTTATTTCTTGCAACTCGCTAAAGTGCCGCGTAGTTTTCAGAATGCAGAGATTACGCTTCGGTAAAACCAAGCTGCTTTTAATTATTGTTTCACGTGACGATAAATGAAAATATTTAGGGATGGTCAAGCTGCGATGTAAAGATGAAGAGATAACGCGTGTGTGAGAGCCAACAGGGTCAACTGTCTTGCTGAAAGATTCACGACCTTTCACGGGAACCTTTTCACCCGTGTCCTCCTTCAACATTCCACACTTTTACCGCCCGCGTATCGCCTTAGAAAATCCGCCCACCCACCTTCTGCACTTTCCGCGCTCTTCCCATTCCTTACTTCTTTATTAATTAACTTGAAACGCAACTTTCGTCAAAGGTAGCAACGGTTACGGCGGTTTTCAAAAGTTCGAGCGAGAGTTCAGATGGAACCGTGCCTTTTCGTTGTAATATAATTCCTTTGTTTCTGAAAATAGACAAGGAAAACTTACAATGCGCAGCGATCACTTTTAAAGCAAAAACTCGGCTGCGAAGCCACGCAGAATTCCGCTTTGCCGCGCGCGCGCGCGCGAAGTTTCTTTAATCGGCTAATAGAATTCCGATTGTACAGGGTGGGATTTCATATCGTTGCAACTATTTGAAGTGTGCATATATTTGTAGCTCGTGGCCGACCTTTAGCCGGCGATTTGACTGTGCTTTTGTGCAGAGGCCACGTTCACTTGTGCGTGGGCGCGCCGGCGAAAATGCAGAGATGTTCGCTGGTCGCGCGACGCCTACCCCTTTTTCGAAATAATAACCCTCTGGGATCGTAATCTCTATTCCAATTTCACGCTACTGGCAAAAATTTTAATTTCAACATTTCCATCTGGTGACCTTTTGATTTCTCTGTCCCTGTTCCTTCTCTTTTCTCATTTTTTCTCTCTCTCTCTCTCTCTCTCTCTCTCCCCTATCCATTTTCCGCTTATTTTCTCCCTCTTGCTTTTGAATAATTAAAATCGATTTTTTGAGAGAAGTAATCTTGAAACGATATCCGTAACACGAAAAATGTACAAATAAGCTCTTTTTGTACAGCCTACTGTGCGCCGATTATTTAGGCAGCGCCATTCATCCGTTACTCTCTCGACGGCTGGAGGCTTATCAGAAATTCATAAACGCGTCGAGCAGACTTTAAATATGTAAACACTTTAATACTATATCCCTCTGTACGAAGGGAGAGACGGATTTTCAGCAAATCTGGCCGAAAGAAGCGACAGGATTGACGGCCGCGAAGCGATCCACGTCGAGCAATTAATCGCTCTCATCGATTTCCGATTAATTACTTTTTATACGCGCGCATCGATAACTGGCGGAAATGAGCGGCGCTTTTAAGTCGTACGATACATCGACGCAAATACCACAAATCTTTAATGCCAAGCATCGGAGCTTTATTAAAAGCGCTGTGACATTTACTTGAGAGACTCGGATTTTTGAATAGTTTGCGCGGGTCACGGATTTATTTTACTTTTCCTTTACTTTGCGAGGGTAATGAATTTCTGTTTTTTTAATAACAACTTTTTCAGTCGCGATCGTGCCCTTTGAAGCTTCAATCGGTTTATCGTGTAATATTCTGTACGACGAGAATGTGAAAAATGCATCTTTCCTGCCTGGCAGGTTTTCACCGGCGCGGCGACGTGTTTCTACGCCTTCATAGGCTTCGACATAATAGCCACCACCGGCGAGGAGGCGACGAATCCGAAGCGGAGCATCCCCCTCGCCATAGTCTCGTCGTTGATCATAATTCTCGTTGCTTACGTCACCAGCAGCATGGTGCTGACGTTGATTGGTGAGTAGAAGGATAGTAGTCAAACGGAGCGGCCAATGGTCGTTGTTGATACGTTCATTAGCCGAAATGCGTGTTCGCGTCATCTCGCAGTCCCGGCGGACAGTAATACGGCTCTCTCTTTGAATTCGCTGAGTGAAACATGTGTTTTCGCATTCACTTGTGAAACGCGAATAAATATCGGCGGATGCAGCGCGGCTTTTCGAGCTGCGTGCCTCTTTCAATATCTCATATCTCCGCAACTCTCCAAACGGGGAATCGAGTGCTCATTCTATCTCGCGTTGGATATTTCACAATTTTAACGGCATTGAATGAAATAGTCGATAATAGAAATACTATAAAGTTATTTGAAATCTCTGTCCTTTTCATATGTAAATAAGAGTTATTAGTATATTTTCATACTACACTACTATTGTATCAAATTTTGATAATTAAAATCTATTATAATTTTAGAAAATTCCGCATAACTAAAAAAAAAAAAGATTCAATAAATCGATAGAAAATGGCGATTTATTGTTTTCGGGACAACGTAGCAGACAATTCCGCGCTTCTTTTACTATGCATTGTCTTTTAATTTGATTGCACATCCAAGAACCATTTTCAGTTTTATTGTTTCAAAATTTACTATTTGCTAGTATAAAATGATATTGTTACGCTATCGACGCGTCCGTTGCCGAATAATATTCATAGTACTGAATTCACAGCGATGCTTGACGAAACGAAAAGGCTGTTAATGTATTTTCCGTCGCGTACTCGTGTGTTTCAGTTCCGTACGAGCAGGTCGATCAAGATTCGGCGCTGGTGGAGATGTTCGGCCAAGTCGGGGCCTACAAGTGCAAGTACATCGTCGCGATTGGCGCGCTGGCGGGCCTGACGGTCTCCATGTTCGGCAGCATGTTTCCGATGCCTAGGATAGTCTATGCAATGGCTCAGGATGGCCTTATATTTCGGTGACAATCAATTTGGATTCAACTTTGAACTTCCATGAAAGAAATCGTTAAGAATGTAGAGGGAAAGACGATAATGCAAGTCAAATCACAGAAACAACGAAAGTAGTGTAGAAATAGTTTGTTTAATAAATTATTAAGCGAAATAGAAATAGCGACTAATGAATTAAATTACGATGTTTTAGTATTATTCATGATTAAAGAGCAATTATCTGAAAATTCTTCAAAATAATTGAGCAATATTTCCAATTAGTACTTAATTGATCTAATTTCTCATCTAACAATTATAAATTTTGTGTTTTTTAGGAGTCTTAGTCAAGTTTGGCCGGCGACGGGCACTCCCGCGATTGCGACTTTAATTTCTGGCTTGTGTGCCGCCTTCGCTGCGCTGCTGATTAAGCTGGAGGTGTTGGTGGAAATGATGTCGATCGGTAAGATATTTAAATGCTCAACTGCTTTTATTTTAATTTATAGTAATCAAAACAATTTCGAAATTGCATTTTTATATGCAGTAGATCATTGTCGACGTCAAACTGGTTAGATCTCTTTCTTCAGATATTGTTTTATTGAAGAAATCTTTGAGTATTTTTCTATAAATTTTATTGCAAATGAAGTCTGCAGCAAATTGATATTAATTATGAATATGGTTAATAATTTTTTTTTCGACTTTTTTCTATCGTTTCACTAGTCGCTCCATGTCTTGAAGATTTAAAAAATTTAATAGATTTCAAATGAAAAGAGGACTTTGAAAGCTCGAACTTTGAAGTTAACTGATAAATAATTGCGTGTTTTATGCATCAGATCTATAGTTCAGGTTTCAAATATTCTTTCTGCGCTTAGTCACACATATATTTTAATTTTATACGAAATATTAACATATTGCGCAATTTAAATTATAAAAATTATATATAATTAATTTGAAATTTGAAATTAATTTTAATAATTTAAAATTTTTTTTAGGATTGTAAATTTTAATATATTTAAATTATAAAATAATTATGTCCAAGCGGTGCGCGGAATATTCAGATTTCCGTTCACGTTCCACATTGCAGGCACCTTGTTGGCGTACACTCTGGTGTCCACCTGCGTGTTAATACTGCGGTATCAGCCGCATTCGACGAATCTGGTCGAGCTGCTGCCGCAGAGCCTCAGGACGCCGTGTCGATCGCCGACAAAGGAGACGCAAGGGAACGGTCAAGTGGCTTACGGCAAGGAGCTCAGGCCCGATCAGCTTACGACCGCGTTGAACTCGGTCCAGGCGTCCCAGTCAGAGCTCACGACCACCAGCAACGGGCAGCGTATCACGGTGAGACGTGATGTCGTGTTCGTGGAACCACAACGGCACATCCTTTTCCGCCGTTGTTCTCGCCATAATGTTATTTGAAGAAATTCCCACACGGCGAGAAAACAAGATTTTCCCCGCAGTTTACTTCCCGCAGTTCTGAATTTTTTACTTCCGATTTCGTTAGTCTCTCGCTCGGCAGTTTAGAGAAATTTGTCGACCGACTTCGTGCTCGATTTTCTTCAGCTTCAGTTAGATTATCTTCGGCGAACGTTTGCTGTGGATATAGCTTTAAAGGAATCTCATTTTTTTTATTTTGTGTGAAATTCTCTTCTTTTCCTTGTGATTTTTTTTAACAAAAGCAACAGTTTTCCTTCACGATTAATATTTTTAAGATAGTGACACTTCAAGCTATTTGTTCTTCCTTGAATTGTTATGTTGATAAGAAAAATTGTATTAAATGTGGGACTTGTGAGAGAGAGATGGGATCGGGATGTTCGCAACGAAATTTGCATTATCATTTCAGGTGCGGCGGGTGAGGAGATGCAATAGCTCGTCGCCGGAGTCGGACGATACGTTCGGCGGCGAGGAGGACGAGGTTGGACTGGGTAAGGACGATCAGTATCTCGTCAGCGACAGGACGGAGAACAAATTCTACGGCAGCGTACACGCGGCCGCAGCCGCTTCGAGTTGCGGCAGCGCTCATCAGTATCCTGGAAACACGCCGATTATAGGACCACCGTTGAACTATCTACAGCGTCGGCTGCAGGTAAGAATCAGGAGCCCCAATGGTGTGAAATAAAGATCTCTATCTCAATTGTAATAAAATCGGAGAATAATAGGATTTTGTTGGAATTTTATCTATCGCCAGTGCAAGTGTCCATACATTTTAATCGAAAAAATATTTTGATACTGATTTTCTTCTGAAATCCTTTCCAAATTTTCTTTAAAGACTTTTTTCAAGTTTCAAACATATTTTATTGTAAATATTTCAATGCTAGATAAGAAATTTTCTTCTTACATAAGTAATTGCACATAAAATATTTTTTAACTTGCGAAATGTCATATTTATCATTTTTGTCATATTTATCACACAACTAATAAACCGTAACATTTCTTAGGCTGTGCAATACCTGTGCCCTGCTATATTCCCATGGGTGGATAGAGGTCCTGCGACGGAGGCGTCAGGACGTTATGTCATGAAACTCGTGGGGATCTTATATTTCTTGATCCTTATCTTTGACTTGATTATCGTCTGTGGGATGGGTGAGTTCACTCTGCCTAATGCATATATTCATAAGTTTTTCGCGAAATTCATCAAAAGTTTAAAAGATTTCACAAAGTTCTTTTTTGATATTATAAAAAGGAAAAAAATTTTTCATAAATCGTATATTATCAGAAAAATATATTTAAACAATTTTACCAAATTTTTAATACATTTGTATAATCAATCTTGCAAATCACTGTAAATACATCTTGTTCAACATTTTCTATCTATTCTCTTTTTTTTTCTTAGGTAACATGGGGACGTTCACAACGATACTATTTTTCCTCTTTCTCTTTGCCATAATCGGTATCCTTCTCGCCATTAGCAGAAAGCCGCAGAATAGGTAATGCGCAATTTGCAAACTGCGAAGTGTATCCAAGCGTGAAATAATTTAACGAGTTAAGTAATAACTTCTTGCACTATCCTTTTGTTTCAGGAATAGCGTAATGTTCATGACTCCAGGCTTACCCTTTGTGCCCGCGATCGCCGTTACCGTCAACATTTATCTCATCTTCAAACTCAGCATCCTCACGCTGGTCAGATTTACGCTCTGGATGACTCTCGGTAAATTTACATTAATTTTAAACATACAATTTTTCACAAATTTCTACGGATTGCATTTGCGAGCAATTAAAATTATATCGATTCTATTTCTATCAAATTTTTCAAGCGGAACGATCAGATTCTCAATTGCTTGCATCTTTTTTCTGGCGGACCGCCGATTGGTTTAAAAACAGTGGGTCGTTTGTATCTGTCATCAGGCTTCATCATGTACTTCCGATACGGCATCAAGAACAGCAGTCTGGAGGAGGCGAACGCATCGGCGAACGACGACACCGTCGTCGGTGGCGGCACGGCCGGCAACATCGAGCTGACCGTGACCGACCACCACATACGGCAGCAGAAGCCGTACACGGCGCCGGATCATAGCATCTACGAGAACAGCCAGCAGTTGGACGCGTTCGGCCAGCCGGTGTTCGGCAGCACGAACTTCGGCGGCACGCCGAGCATCAGTATCAGCCATCATCAGCCTCTGCAGAGGCAATCGGCGGCGACAGGCGGCAACCGCATCGACCAAACCGCGTCGACGACGACGGCTAAGAAGCTGTTCATCGATCAGTCGAGCTTCCCCTCCTGGGACGATTGAGGAGCGCCGCGCGCGGTACCGAGCGGATATTAACGTATACAGAACACACGAATGGAAAGAAAGGGAGAGAGAAAGAGAAAGAGAGAGAGAGAGAAAGAGAGAGAGAAAGAGAGAGGTATTACTATTTACTACGTCTGACAACATGTTCGCGCGCGAGCGCGCGACTGGCATCGGATAATCGCCGATGAAACCAGACCCTTCGGAGATTGCGATGGTTTTCAGGTTCGATCTTTCTGCGCTGCGTGACGGCATTTCGGAGCGCGACGAGCTTTCGGCGAACGATCATCGAGATCGCTCGAAATAGATATTCAAAAGGAGCCATTTCTAATCGTATTAATGCTGACACATATAGCTGACTGACGTTTAACAGATCATCTATTGAACTGTTACAAATTTTAATCGGAGAAAAGGATGAGGGATGAACTAAATTAACTTATAATCGATCGGCGAAAAGGAGGCGACTGGAATTTTTTCAGGCATCTCTTCGAGCACTTTTGCGCTGCTCGAAGACGTCGCGCTGATGTTTCTGCAATCGCGCTCATTGACATTCGTCATTTATCCCTTCAAGTAAGTTTATTGTCGATCTCACGAGTTTGTGCAAATATTCGGCTACGTATGAATAAGTTGCAGGACTTGAAAGAGTCCTTGTTAACGCTCGATCGTCCGCGCGAAAGTAACGTCTTTTCCTTCCAAGTGCGCGCGACGAGATCGTCAGAAAGATTTGGTTGAAGTGACGTCAGCAAGGTGGGAGGCCAGGATCAAGCGATACTCCGAGGGTCGAACTTGTTGACTACTATTTGGGACGAAGCAAATAATTTTGCGGCAATATTTATTATCTTAGTTGTATAGTACTGTCGTTGACGAGATCGCAAGCGAGAGGAAGGGGGAGAGGGAGGTGGGAGGAGGAATGAGGCAAAGAGTAAGAGCTGAGCACGATGACGCGCAGGGAGGGCGGGAGGGGGGGGGGAAGGGGGAGATAAGGAGGAGGATGAAGAGACCATTACCATTAATAGTATAAGGCGAAACTTGTGTTTTCCAAGAGAGCGTTCTAACTGCTAATAATAAGTTTAAATTTATCGCTAGTCCGCGAATGAGAAGCGAGTGCGAGACGAGGAATGACAGTGTCGTCGGAGCGTAAGGGTGAATGAGAGAAACGCGAGAGAGAGAGAGAGAGAGAGAGAGAGAGAGAGAGAGAGAGAGAGAGAGAGAGAGAGAGAGAGAGAGAGAGAAAGTGAGAGAGCGAGAGAGAGAGAGAAAGACAGTGAGAGAAACGAGACAAAGTGACGAGGAGAGCGACGTATGCCTGAGAAAGCACGTTTCGAGAACGAGTCCGTAGAAGAGAACATTTTAATGAAGGAAAAAAAAAATGAAACGTCATCTTGCCTAACTTTAGTCTTTCCCAAAAAAGAAAAAAAAAAGAAGTTTAGTCTAATATATTATAATCGTATACCTAAGCTTACTACAATACTTATATACGTCTTACCTCGAGTAAACCCTTTGATTATTAATTTACACGCAATTTGTATAAATTATCTAGGACTTAAGCGCGTCATCTCCCAACTGACGAAGAGGTTGAAAAGAAGTGAAGGCGATTAGCTCGGTTTAAGGACTCACTGCAGGAAGAATAGACCTATTAAAAAGAATTGATGAAAATTTCAGTTTGCGGAAATAGCGCCGTAAACCCTTCCAGTATCGTAAAATAGAAAATTCTAATTTTAACTCCACTTAGCAGCGTCTATTTTTCACTCTCGTTATTTTGGAATCCAGTAAACTTCTCACTTGAAATTAAGACATATCGAAATGAACCTTGAAAGGGATCTCGCGAATGTGAAAGAAGACGGAACGAAGCCTGGTTGTTTCGGAGAAGTAAGCCTCCTCTCTTCAATTGCTTTTAATTCGTCTATTTCTTATCAATCAGCGGATGTAGACGGGAGACGAAGCGGGATAGGATTTCGTTTTTCGTGTACATATCTTCGGTGTTTCGAGACAAACCGTTTCTCCGTACGTACGTGCACAAGTCAGTTGTGCTTCTCTGTCCGCTAGTGTGTTCCGCGCGATGAATCGAGGATAGCCTTCAATGTTCCCGAGTAATTAAGGTCGGGAAGAGATGCGCGCCCGTGTCTCCGAGCCGAGCGAATGTGCATGCCGCCGCACTCGATTACATATTCACGTCACGAAGAGTAACTCTTCTAATTAGCTTCGGTCGAGAATAGTTTCAGACAACGGAGGATACGTGCCACCCGCCGCGGCACGTGATACTCGCGATATTATTCTCTATCGGTTTTGATTCAACTCCCGCGGATTGATCGCGAGAGTCGCAATTGTCAGAGAGCGAATAGGAACGCCGCAAAATACGCAGGAAGCTATAACGAGACGCTGATCGATCCGCAATCAAGTAATGCGGCTGGAAAGTGCATTATCGATCGGGGTGAATTTACGTCGCGAGGATGCGAAGCGCATGCCTTCGCGTAGTCACGCATGGCGTGCGACGGTCTTTTAACCAAGATGAATCGTTGTTACCTTAAAATCGTTTAATCATCGAAATGTTTAAAAGCGTAGCTGATCTCTGTTGCATTATCCTGTCGTTAACGTTATTAGTTGATATTATCCTGCTTGTTAATGGTCGTTTCTCTGTCGTTTTGCTGGCAACGGAGACACGCGCCGCGCATACTATTCGACATTCGATTCGTGCATCTTCCAGAAGAGCGTCGGCGGCGCGCCGCAACGCCGTCGATCACTCGAACGGGCGGGGGAGGTCGTCAGCCAAGTACGAAGACCTTTCCCGCCCACCCCGGGCGATCGCTTACGCGAAACTGTATTTCTTCTCGTGTCTGTATTTACTTTCGTCCAGCTGCTCCGCCACTTTACTACTTCGTTAGGACGCCATCGTCCAGCCGTGTGCGGAAATCGCCCCGCGGCTCTCGAGTCGTCCGACACTCCGCGTCCCTTCCCCACGTACGAACAAAATTCGATGATAAGGCGACGATAGAGGGGCTCAGGGTGCGATCGATCAACGCTTCGAACGAAATTATATCGAGAAAATGAAACGAAAAACCGATTATTCTTTCAGAATAAAAATTGGGTTCTTAGTAAGTTGGATAATTATTTATTTTTTATTAATTGGAAAATTGATTGAATTTTAATGCTCTCCATTGAATCGTCTACAATAGTCACAAAAATGCACATTATGTATAGATGAAAGAGATATTCAGAGGTTTAATATTATCGGCGAGATAATTAAATATTAATCATTAATTATCGAAAGATGAAATATTGTATGAAGGACAAAAGCAAAATGAGTACAATAAAATTGAATCATTAGGAATATATATTAAAAATTAATAATTTGACATTTATTAATACATATTTCTATAATATATTTTCCAAGTAAAAATTTGCATCTTTTATAATTCATGTACATGAATATGATCTCTTTGTGTCGCAACTGAGAGCAGATTTGTTTTACAGCCGCTCTGGTTTCCCTTCGCTGTTTATCGCGCCTGGGTCTCTCGACGGAACCGATTAATCTCTAAGGAAAAAGAGAAAAATATATATATATATATATATATATACATATATACATATACTCTGTGATCGAAACTGTTGTATCTCTAACGGCGACGACGATGGACGTCGATCGTTTCGTGTTTCCAGTGGATAAAATTGATTCGAGGATCAAAAGGGGAGATACTCGACACGCTATGCAGGGGCAGGTCGAGAGCTCGCGTCTCGCTTTTTTATTCTCTACATATCGATCGGTGATCTTTTCACATATCAGTCTTGCGCACATTCGCGGCGCGAGATCGCCGTGGATCATTGTGTGATTATAATAGTTAGCGTACGTTTGACGATGTTCCGATATATATGTAGAATACTTTCTACACACGAGACTGTTCGATTTTTTAGGCGATATACACGTAGGATGGCTAGAGATTCGCGCCTACGCTCACGGTCGCGCGGCGTTTTCATCCGTTTTAAGTTCGTTTTGCCGAAACGAGTCGTCTATCCTTTTCTCCTCGTTTAAATTCAACTGAGACTTCAATCAAGGGACTTGACTCTTCGGTGTAATAGCGCTTTAATTTAAGTTTCCAAGTGATTCGGCGCGCGATGCTTGAACATTGCAAGAAGAATATCGCGTCCAATTAAAGTTCTATCAAGGAGGAAATTATCTAGTCGTGTTATCTAGTCAACTGAGTCAAATTTTAAGAGGTGGAGCGCAGGCGCGAATTTCGCGTTTGCAATTGCGATTTGCAATGCATCTGTTCCTTTTCTTTCCATCTTGACGCTCCACTCCTGTAACAATGCGGATATCTGGCGGAGAATCGTACGGTTGCGCCGAGTCCACGCCACCGTGATTTCACTGCGGGAGAAGCCGGTTCTCACAAGTGCAATGCGCGAATCCAGATATATTTATACGACACTTATCTTCAGAATGTAAAGCACAAACTTTATGCCATTCGGCCGTTATACATATCTACTTTACATTGTGCACAATGGATAAATGGAGAATGTCGAGAGAGAGAGAGAGAGAGAGAGAGAGAGAGAGAGAGAGAGACGCACCTTTGAAATCAATTAGCAATCGTTAATCGGGTTAACCGCGAAACGTGCGAGCGTTCTCTCGTCCACGGTGACGTTGACGCGCGTCGGGATTTGCGATACTCTAGATATCCGCACTGTCCATCCGCAAGCACGCAGCCGTTCGCGGCATCGTGATCTACGACGGACGGGAATTTAATTCTGTAAAAGAACAGTGCCTGTACACATCTCTCCAGACGTTAGACGAGACGTAGAGATCCTTTCCTTGAAACGAACAAAAAAAAAAAAAAAAGACAAAAGATACGGCGATTAAAGGGGCGTGAAAAATGACGAGGAAGCTATGCCGCAACCCTACGAAATTTATTTCTATTCGCTCCTACGCCACGGAGAAGTTATTGTGTTATTAGTTATTTCGATGCCTCACACTTTCACGCGAGCCGTCGAGATCACTTGTTATTATGAAACTTTACCGAAGGAATGCAATATATTTTATAAAAGTATATATTTATAGACTCACATAAATGAACATATCAACAGCTCTTCTTAAACGACTTTTTATTATTAATCAAACCGACTGAAAAACCACGTGTTCCGATCAATGCCTTCTTTTCGAATCGACTCGATTGAATCTTAAAGCTTGCAAGCGGCATAGCTTCTTTATACTTTTCAGCCCGGTCAATTCACGTATGCTACTTATGCGAATAACGTTGTTAATAAAGCAGATCCCTACGGGATTGTGTATTTCGTTATATCTTGGGGATAAGATTACGTGTGAAGTCAATAGCAGAACGATAAGGAGGACGCGGCATTTTACTCGTTGCTTCTTTAGTTAGTCTTTCGAATTCTTAGATAGGAGGAAATGGCCTATTGCGCAGAACGGCGGGGACGAGGTACAAACTGCAAAGTAAAATTTAAGCGAGAGAGAGAGAGAGAGAGAGAGAGAGAGAGAAGAGAGAGAGAAAGAGAGAGTAAAAGAGAGAAAAAAGCCCTTCACTGCTCTGAAGCGACCTGAACGACTCGAAACGTTCGAAGAGCGTTCGGACTACTTCCGACGTTTTCGGATCGGATGTTTGATTCAACGGAGCACGTTGTATCGAGTTTAGCGGACCTCGCGCAGGTGTCACGTAATGTACCTTGACAGTTTCAGGCGGCTGTAAGTTGAAAGTATTAGCTTCCACGAAGAAGGCGTGACGCGGAATAAAAGTATCGCATTTTCAATCGAGTCAAGTGACGACTGTGAGACCGCCATTTTTCAGCTCGGGGGAGAACAAGTGTCTCTCCAGTGGACATAAAAAGTGGAAAAGTGAGGCGAACGCTCGGCACTATTGGCAATAGCAGGCAATAATAGTTTAAAATAACGTTCCATGTTTTTCTTTAAAATGGAAAATCAGTTTGTGATAATATTTCCGGTTGGAAGTGCGATATGTAACGATAGGATAAGAGATCGGCGGTGGCTGAGCGACAGTTTGTCTTCAGGTCGACGACAGCGCGTATGAAAGTGTACGAAGCTAACGGAAAGGCACGTTCTTCGCAGAAACGAAGCGCTAAGAGTGATAGGGATCTAAGAGCCACTTATCTGTAACAAAACCGATTTCATAGGAATACAATAGAATAATACAATGTTGAACATATACGACACTGCAATGGACGAAGTAGCGCGCAAGTTGTTTACTTTGTATTTTCTCTTCGTTCTTCTCGAAAATCCTCCTCTTAACAGATTATATCATTCTCGGCACTTCAAACACGCGATCGGGTGCATTAATGCGTCCGCAAGAATATTTTACGCGACTCGCTAATTTTTTTTTCGTTCTTTCAGAGCAAAATATTGAGAACTGTAGAATTAATTATTAAGATATGAATCAACGAGATGTGGTTCTTAAAAATAAAAAAAATTAAACACAAGATAAATAAGAACCGCAAAGCGCTGCTTAAAACACAAGATCTATAAAATATTTACCGAAGTGTAAACGTTTCGACTGCGGAAGCGATATATGATAAGGAAATAAATATATTTCTCCGATTTTGCAGAGAAATTTGACCATATGATTGACCAAAATCGCATAAATCCGACGCATTAATGCGCCCGATCGCACAGCAGTATTCCCGCGGTGGAATTTGTTCTGGAAGCTGCATCCGGTGTTGCATACAATTGCATCTTTGATATAAATATTACGATATTATAAATGCAAACGATATTATTAAATATTAAATTAACTGGTAGCGGTTTTAATCTCCGTACGTAAGTAATTCACGACAGAGCGTGACAAAACGCGCCTCGCAAATTCCAGTCGCTGGCAAGCACAAGATATCCGTATATCGGATTTGTAAGAGGCAGTGAGTACATTGCGTTACCTGCATCCCCGTGCTGATCGATCACGCTCGCGTGGACGCCGAACGAGCCGGCAAGATCCGGGATTGCAAGCTTAATGGGGAAAGAAAGTGAGCAGGGCTCTTTGCGTTGCACGTGTTGGAAAATGGAAATGCGAAAGCGTTCTTCAATGCTCGGCGAGTATCGGAAGTATCGCGAGAACGATATTTTTCTCGTTTGCCAGGAAAGCACTAGACGTTAACAAAAAAAAAAAATGAAAAAACAGAGAAAACTTTCTTGTTCTTAACCGAGGCAGAGAGAAAGGGAGAGGGTGAAAGAGAGAACGTGAGAGAGCGAGAGAGAGAGAGAGAGAGAGAGAGAGAGAGAGAGAGAGAGAGAGAGAGAGAGAGAGAAAGAGGAAGCATGAGAGTGTGAGTGATGTATGTGCAATGACGATATACTTTTTTTTTCCTCTCGGGACGGTCGGGTGGAGGGCACTCGAGGTATCTCGGGAAGATATATGCGCACGAGAAGGACAGAATTTTCCATGTAATATATATACCCTTACGTAACTATATACGTTGTTTAATATTGATAAGGATCAAAAATAAAAGTGATTATTCAAAAGCTAACGACCCCAGTGCAACGTTGCTCGATATTTCCCAAATACATTTCCCGTGTATCCATGTGCAAAATCCTTTCAGTTTTCCATTAATATTGATTATGATTTATCTGTGGATTGAACAGATCTCTCTTTCTCTCTCTGCAAAATTTTTCATTCTTTTTTTATTATTTATTTTGTTGTAAATTTATTGCATGATATTTTATTTAAACGTTTATTTTTACATGTATAATATTTTTTTAGGTTATAAATAACTGCGGTATCAATAAAGATAAAGGTAAAAATAGAAAGAACTGAACACAAATATGACGTAAGATAGCATGTGTCATAAGAGTGAAAAGTTTGGGCAACATTAGAAAGTGAAAAGTAAATTCCAAACTTTCTTACATTCAACTTAAAAAGAACGAAGTATTTTTAATTTTACTATTTTTTATTATTATATAATTTCTGGAAAAAAATCGTAAACAGAAATATTGTGTTATTTAATATTGTTATGTTATTTAATATGCGTTATTTAATATAATGCAATGTTCTTTCAGGTGAAGTAGTATTGATCTTTTGCTATCGCAAACGGCGCACGGCGCGCGTAATCAGTAGTCACTGACCGACATTAGACGGACGTGTCTAACGCGAAAGTCATTCGCGCAATAACAACGCGGCGACGATCGGACATTGATGTCTACATTTATCAATGAGCAGATGATTCGCGAAATGTTTATACCTGAGCACGTAGTTGTGTCACCATTAACATTTCTGATTCATCAAGTCTAACGTGTCGCAATTCAAGCGGAAACTATTGACATAAAATATTCGGAGAATTGTCAACAATATTTTTCCGTGACGTAATCAGTTGCTCTTGCAAGGTAAGAGACTACTTAATGTCCACCTTCCACATTCGAGACGACTCGCTCTCGTCGATATGAAGAAAATGTCAAGGCTCTATTCCGCGAAGCGAAATGCTTCTCCTCTTCGTCGACACGAGCATCCGTGTATTTTCCGTCTTTTCAAATTTGTAAATTTTATCTCTATAATTATTTAATCGTTGAAATTTTTTTTTATGATAATACATAATAATATTAAACAATTCTCAGTTGCATTATATATTGAAAATTGATCTTTCTTTTAGGATTGAGTGAAGTATCCTGCTTATCCTTGTGTTACATAAAAAACGAACTTGCAGCAACAATGTTTGATAGATATATTATTATGTATTTAACTTGATGCTAGACTCATTGAATCGTAATTGCATATTGAATAATTCTTTCGCAATTTACGTACGTAAATAATATCTTACGTAAATAATATCTTTACGCACCAATTTATGCAATTACTGCTGCGTATGAATTATGCAGAAAAGCAGACGCGAATAAACACGCGTCTAAATGCAGCGCACATTACAGCCTGCTCTTTGTTGGGAATAAAAGAGAGTCGGCCTGTGCAATATTGCCATTCCTGTGCGAGGAGACAGACAAGGCTGACCGCGGATGACATTTCTTATCCTGACATTCCTACAGATCGCCGCAAAGTTAGCAAGCTTCGGAATCCAGAGAGGATACTAATGTTAAATACAATACAGGTTATTCATTTATAGATACAAAAAATTTCACAAATTGCTCAAAATTTACGTAAAATAATTTATCGGGAAACAAATAATTTCTTTCGATTCAAAACGTAATAAATTCCGATCTTTTTTTTTTTTAGTAAAAATATATATGCGTATATTTTAAATCGATTACGTCACACATTACGATTTTAATTTTATATTACGTGCCGAGTTAAAACGAAACGAATGCAGAATAAATGAAGCTCGAAGTGAGCTCACCTTTTCGGCCACGGCGTGTCACGCGATCACGCCTTTTACTTTGAGAGAAGAACAGGATAATTTCTACGGCCGTCGACGAAGGCAACTTATGCGCGCGTGATCCTCTCCCGCTCTTCTCATCCGTGCGCGAAGATGATAAAAGCATGCCAGGTGGCAGCGGCGCGTCGTAGTCTTCCTTTCGGGATCCGGCCAGAAGGAACCCGTAGACGCGTGATACGACAACGAAACGTGCCAGGATGGCCTCGAGACCGATCGTTCATCTGCTGATCGCCTGCGGCGTCTTCGCCGCGACGACGTGTGAGTAACACTACCCTCCGGTGTTATCCGGCATGTTCGAGAAAGTGTTGTACGCCTCTTCGGCCGTCTCTTTGGCAATCGCGTAGATTCGTCTCTGCGTTTCTCTCGTACGTTTTTAAGTTCGTAGTGCTGTGGCTCGTAATGTGTGATATAATTTTTTTCTACACACGACATGAATTTCGGGCAATGTGAATTTTTTGTTCTTTTCATTAAACAACTGCAAAGTGATTAGAAGAATTTGTTAAGCCAACCTTTGTTCTGTTTATTTGTTAATTAAAAGTATAAGATCAAAAAAATTATAGCTTTCACTAATTGGAAAACATTTAATTACTCTTTTAATTACAGTAAATATGCAAACATAATTTTTAATAATTAAATATTAAAATAATACAAAATATATCGTAACTTTTATTTGATGAGTGATGATTAACTTATCAAAATTCATCAAGCATTTGTCTAAAAAATTGTTTATCCGAAAGAATGAAATATTTTCAAAGTAGTCATATATAAAGATATTAAGTAATTATAATACATGTAATTATAATACATGTAATTCCCAGGCAGATTAATGAGGTTGGCTAAGATCCAGGGACGTTTAGAAAATTTGCATACATTTATTTTAAATTAAATTCGAATTAAATTCGCGATTAAATTCGAATAGCTATTGTATTGCCGACAGCTCACTTATAATTAAATAATAACGTTGTAGTTTGCGTTATAATTTATTATATGGAAACAATTTTTGTATTTTTCGTGTTTTTTTTATTGCGAAATAGCCTTATTAACGAGTGACTGATCTAACTAGAAAAATTTCTTTCGAAAGAAATCTTTGATAGACAAAATTAAGGCTTGTCAGCTTAACGACGGATAATCGAGTTTGTAATCAACTGTACTTTCTCTCGTTGTTTACACTCATTATCTTGCGCAATCTCTGCTCCGCGGAAATTCCTCGGAAAACATCTCCGGTCGATAGTTTTCGTGCACGAAACCATCGCCGTCGTTTCTCAACTTTTCGTGATATCCCAGGGCTCCAATATCGAATCAGCGGTATGATATATTGTTTTATTTCTGCTTTTTTGTGTACGAAAAATTGCGAGTAGGAAAAGCTTTTCTTCAAATCAAATAATGTATAATTTTTTTTTTACAAATTTTTGCCGTGTTTATTCTTTTATTTCTCAGACTTGCTAAGTCCACTCCGATATTGCCCACGGCAAAATCGATCACAAGTGGCACGCAGACATTACGTAAGCGATGCGCAGGTAACATTAATGTATGCGAAAATGTCTTCGTTGAGGTCGAGAGCGCCGGCGATCGCCGAACTTTCGCCATCATGCGATAATCGCATACGCTGCATTAACGCGCCTTATTAATACCATCTGTGGACGGACTCGTTGAACAGGTTTTACGTGCAATATCGCGGTTTATAGCAGCATGTTGGAGCTGTTCTTAATCTGCGAAAAGATTTTTATATTCTGGCGCAAAGGAAAAATTCTATTCCAAGCACGCAGCGTGTGATCCGTCGCGTAAAATCTGATTGCTAACGTACTTAAATTTGACATTACGTAAAAGATATGGAAAATGTAATCACGAGATTTCTTTAAGAAGAAATTTGTTGTATTTCAGCGCTCCATCAAAACCACGTATTTTCAAATCAGTTTTTCAACAATCAGCTAAATCGCGGTCCGCAGCAAGTGTCGCTAAAACATACGGCGTCATGTCCGGAAAGGAACGGCCGCTATGTGATGCGCAATCAGTGCGACGCCTATGTCGAGTGCCTCGACGGAATCGCTGAGGAGAAGCTGTGTCCCGAAGGATTAGTCTTCAATCCTGAAGCTCGTTTCAACTATCCCTGCGGATATCCGATTGACGTAAATTGCGAGGGCAGGCCAAACTTGCGTAAGCTACTTACAATTCAATTTGTAACCTTGTTGCTAAATATTGTTCAAAATTTGCTACTAATTTCAACGATAAAAATATTTTATCGATAGAGACAGTTTTATTTATTGGGAATTAATATCTTTTTTAATTTAAATCATCGGAACTGCAATTTTGACTTTTTTGTGAATTTGAATTAATCGTATTGACATGTAGTTCATTTGTAATTTATTTTCAGAGCCGGCGAGTCCAACTGAAGATTGTCCCCATCAGTACGGTTATTTCAAGATTGGCGATCATCAGCATTGTGGTCAGTTCATGAACTGCGTGGACGGTAGGGGCTACGTGTTCGACTGCCCGGAGGGCCTGGCCTTCAATCCGGAGAGCTACCGGTGCGATTGGCCCGATCAAGTGCCCGATTGCGACGCCGAAGCTTTCCTGGGCTTCCGCTGTCCGGAAACGAGGAACAGCTTGTTTCAGGGCGGCGAGATTCAGTTCTATCGCAGCAACATCGATTGCCATCATTATTACATCTGCGTGAATGGCCGACCGCGGCTGCTAAACTGTGGTGTGGGAAACGCTTTCAATGAGCTCATTGATGCTTGCGACGCCGCGGAAAATGTCACTGGCTGGTGAGTCACGTTTGAAGACATTGATAATATTCACATCGTAGAATAATAATAAACAATTATCGCTTTTATCTTTTCAGCGAACACGAAGCGATAGCAAGAACCACGCCGAAACCTAAACAAACTAGGCTTTTCTAAATGTAAGTGGGCTTGAAGGATGAGGGCGAAACTTCACCACAATGCAACAGTCCTGAAGAAATGGTAATCAAGAATTGGTAATAATAAGGTGCGCATCAAATTCCGACATATGGTATGACATATTTTTGATATAAAAAAATTATATATAAATATTTCCCTGATGCGTAATTGCAAATAATTGCGTATTTCTAAAGAAAGAGCAATGCAGCAATCGAAAGACCCGAATAAAAGATCCCACTATAATATATGACATATTCGGATAAACATTAATGCCATAAATAATGTATATACTGATGAATAAGTTACTTTAAGAATAGCTATATTTACGGTAGGTGCCTATTTAAGGTATAATAAAAATGTGAATGTTTTGTGAATAAAGATAGAAAAATTATTACACGCGTTTTGCCGCGATTGCAGAGATCGGCAATTGCGTCGCGCATCTTGAACGCGATCCTGGCATTGAACATCCTGTAAAAATGGAGTAAGTTGTATATAGATGTAGAAAGAGAGTGGGAAATATTATAGGGATTTTTAATATATGCAGGGAAGGGAGACAAGGCTTTTTAAAAGATGATCAAATGCGATTTATGCGTACAGAATATACAATTATTATTGACACAGTACAATCGCTTAAAAAATATAGTAGCTATAATTTCGGATGTACGTCGTTGAAATGCGCGTGCACGCGCAATATATATATACACACACACGTGAGAATTATTAACGAGTTACACGTTCACTTAGCGGCACGTATGACTTTCTTAGATTCTACATGAATCGCTAGATGCGGTCTGCAGTAAGTTCGTAAAAAATATACATCTATATGCGTTTAGCTGCGGCTGACTCAAAGGTGCACTCGTTTCGCTCGTAATTCAAGCGCGCTAATCAACGATGAGAAGTTAAGAGCGAAAGATAACGCCGACGAAATGAGTATTATTCGAATACACGAGACGAACTGTGCAAACCGTAAGCCGTAATTTTTCCTTCCTCGGCTTTCTCCGTAACACTAAATCTTGCGCGCATGTGAATTCGAGACATCTACATTTTACGAGCTACGTTCGTACTTACAAGATGTTTGAGCAATGATGTTTCTTCAGATTGCGCTTTCGTGTGGAAAACTAGTCGGACGAGATAATCGTCTACGCCTGCGACATTCAATTCACGCGTACGCTTCATTAATCGTCTCGTTCAATTGTCATTTGATTAATTGTCGTTTATATAGGTACAGGATATAATTAAAATTATTTCAATACAAAATAAATTTAATAAAATACTTTATCAAAAGCATTTTATGAATGCTACTCTTTTTTTTTTTAGATATTTTCTAATTAAAGGTATTTTTACATACTTTATCCGTGTATCGCTGGTCGGAGAGAGGCGCGTATATTTTATCAAAAATATATTCGACTTTATTTCGATCGAGTAAAATTATTCTTTTATTTATCTGATCGAAAAGGCGACTGCGTGTGTGTGTGTGTGTGTGTGTGCTTTTCGGATGCATATTGCGCTACGAGCAGAGTGCTAGGAGTAATCGTTGCGTAGGGTCGTCTCTTCGGCGATATATCCGGCAACGTTCGCAAGAGTCACACGTTTTCTAATTAATCGCGAGGAATGATCGCAGGAATGTGAAAATCGCTTTACGAACGCGCGACTGTCGTCGCTTAGTGTCTCTCGCGCCTCACGAGAATAACGTAGGAACCGATTCTTCGCTTCTAAACTTAACTAACTAGGCGATTCTTTCACGAAACCGCGCACCGGACGCGTTTCCTCGTCTGTCTCTCCTGATCCGATCGACGATCGCGGGAGGGGGGGGGTGCGATCGACGAGCCGATCGGACCGCTCATTAACTTTAATAAGTGTGAATCCAGCGCGAGGCGCTATGGCAATGGGCTTAGGAGGAGGCGAGCTCCCTTCCTCTAGATATTCTTACGTATATCGCGCGTTAGAAAAGAGAAAATAATTATAAATACACTAAGGAGGTCCTACAGGATTCACGAATTACCAAAATCAACCCGGAGTCACCGAGGAAACGTGGCTCTCTCTCTCTCTCTCTCTCTCTTTCTTTCGCGCGCCGCGCTCTCTTCACCAGACGTTTCGGTTCCGGCATTTCCGGTTGCGCACATCGTGACGGCAGCTCTGTGTCACCTCGTCGAACGCCGTGCCCTCCTCGCACACGAACCGGAAGTCCAGCACCTGTCGCGATGTAAAGCCGGGTGAGCAGTAGTGGAACAAACGGCAGTCCCGAGTGTCGCCGTAAAAGCGATACATCTCTTTTTCCAAACAATTAAAGCTCATGTGCTTTTGTGGAATCGCGGGCTTCCGCTTGCTCGGTCGACGAAATACAGACACCGTCGTTGTCGCGTCGAAAGAATCGGCGACTTCCGCTTCCGGTTGCGCGGTTGTCGACGTTAGGACTCGTGTCGGATTCTCGGATGAGAAAATCGGCGAAGTTTCCGTGACGTCTTGCGGATAAAAAGTTTTCGCGGATTTTAGCTCGGTAATCGTCGTGACTTCCGCTTCTTCAGGCTGTCTCTCGGTGCTCGTCTCGTCGTTCTCGCGCGAGCTTTCGGGCGGTAGCGTCATCGGCGGCAGTGTCGTCGCAATGTCGATTTTTTCCGTCGTTTCCCGACTATCCGGCAACTTCGTCGTCTGCTCGACGGAAGGCGCGAAGGTGGACGATTTGGACAAAGGATAAGGAGTGAAGGTCTCCGTTTCCTTTGGCAGAATTCGCGAATCGACGTCTGTCGAAGAGTTGGCGGGCGAATGCCGCTCCGACGGGCTCGACAGTTGATCTTCCTTGTTCGTGCGATCGTTCTTCGCAGCGGAATCGAGAGACTTGGATTCAGTAGCTTCCAGTTTGCTCTCAAGGGCGTTCTCCTCGCTCCTGCCGGACACCGTTGTCATCGGCGGTGACGTCATTGTCGTTGTCGCGGGTTCTGTCGTCATTTCCGGACTCTCCGTGTTTACTTTCTCCGTCGTACTCGTGCTCGCGGGTTTGCGCGATAGCGAGAGTCTCCTGATCATTGGCTTGGGCGCCAGCTCGCTGTAGGACCTCGGCGGTTTCGCCGGTTTCGGGTTGAGCAGGTTAATGCGTGGTTTGATCACCACCGGAACCGGCGTCGTGGTCGGCGCGACGTAAGCGTAGATTCTTCTGGATTTCGTGGGCTTGAAGAACTTCGGTGACGTGGGCTGACGGAGGGTGGTAGTTGGACGAGGAGTGGTCGTCGTAGTTGTGCTCGTGGTTGTAGTCGTCGTCGCCGTCGTCGCCGTCGTCGTCGTCGTCGTCGTTGGTGTCGATGTCGTTGTCGAAGAAGGCGTGGTCGAGCTCGCGGCTTCTTTGACATTCGCTATTTCCGTAACGTCCTCCGCACGCGTCGTTTCCGCTTCGACGCTGTTATCGATCTGGTGTGCTTCACTATTCTTTTTGTTCGTTTCTTTCGCAGTTGCATTCTTATTCTCTCTTTCAATCTCCTCACTCTTTTCCTCTTTAGAATCGGTAGACTTAATCTCCTTGTAATTTTCCGGCTCGTAGTTATCGTCGATGTAGTCGTGCGCGTCGATTATCGGATCGACGGACTGTACCTCGCCGGACTCCGATGATTCCCGCGTCCCTTCGTCGTCCTTGTAATCCGGTCGCGGTAATTCGTCCGTGAATTTTAGGACACCCTCGGTACTGCCCTCAGCCTCCTCCGTCGAATCCGTGACGTCCTCCTGAGACTCGGTGTACTCGTCGGAAGTCGCGTAATCCGTGGACGTCGTAAAATCCTCCGTGCTTCCCGATTCCGTGTAATCCCGCTGGACGCTGGTATTTTCGCCGGATGTCTCCGTTGTGTCCTGATACTCGTTTGGTTCCTCGGAATCCGCTTCCTTGCTGTACTTCACGATCGAACTTTTCTCCTTGTTAGCGCCGGATTTCTCGTTTTCGTCCTCGCGATAGGACGAATCTTCTTCTTGCTCGCTCTCGCGAGAAGTTGTGCTTTCGTAGGAAGAAATCCTGTTCGGAGTCGCCGTCGGGCCCTCCTCGAATCCCTCGTCGTCCGTGCTCGCGTTATATTCTTTCGAAGTTTCGTACTCTTTAGAAGTCTCTTCGATTCCTTCGTCGATTGTGCTTGCGTTGTAGTCTGTCGAGTATTCCTCGGAGTATTCGTCGGAGGATCTGCTGTCTTCGGAGACGTGCGCGACTTCCGTCGAATCTTCCGCGCTTCCTGAATTCTCGGCGAGGCTCGAGTCTTGCACAATAGAGCTCTGCGTTGATTCTGTACTTTGTTCCTTCCCTTCGGATTCCTCTTCAGCACGTTGCTCCAAATTTTTCGTCATTTGATCCTTCGTGATTTGGTGATCGAACGATCGCTCCATTTCCTTATTTTTGCTCTGGCTTTTAGTGTCTTGTAGACTCTTCGAGCCGCGTTGACCGACCGCTCTCGTGTCGATTTCCTTGGAAGTTTCAGATTCCGCTTCTCCGAAAATGTGGCTATCAATCTTTTCCACGGCTTTCGCCTCAAAAGACATAATGGATGGAATCGGAGTAGTAGTAGTGGTAGTAGTAGTACTAGTAGTAGTAGTAGTAGTTGTTGTTGTTGTTGTTGTGCTAGTAGTAGTAGTCGCTTTATCTTCTTTTTGCCGAACTGTTTCCGTCGCTTCGACAGGCTTCGTTCTTTGCTGCTTTCCTCTCGAGGACATTCTGCTTGAGGATCTCGAACGAGAATTCTTTCTCCTCGCGCCGGGCTTTCTCTCTCTCGAATTCCTCGCGCTCTTTCGCGTACTTGTTTCTTCTGAAACTCCAAACTGCCTGTCCTTATTGATTACGGAATTTGATTGCTTTTGTGATGGACTTTTCGTCAAGTGTCCTGCGATTTGGTCGTTGTGTATAATCTTCTCGTTGGTTTTCGTTGCATCGTGCGAGGATTTGGTTTCCTCCTCGAGAATAATCTCGGTGGGAGCGTCAGTCTTTGATGTTTCGACGTCAGAATCCGCAGATTTCGTCGAAACATCCTCGGATTCGAGTATTATTTCGTCTTTAAAATCGCTTCGAGATTCGTTCAACTTTCGTTGGATAAATGTTTCAACTTCCAGTTGAGGAGTCGTTTTAGAAATATTCTCGACATTTGACGACGAACGTTCGCGACTTATCTCTTCGTTCTCTTCTTCCTCGTCTTTATCCTCTCCCCCCTCGTCTTCGTCTTCTTCGAGTAAGCTCAAGTGCTTCGAAGCTCTTACGTTTAAATCTTCCAAGGACTCTATTTTTCTTATTTTGTTTTTCGTCAGTTCTGCAGGTTTCACAACGATAATCGTGTCATCCGCCTGGTCGCTCAACAAGCTATCCTGCCAGATAATCTTCTTGATAGCTTCTTCAAGATCATCATTGATCTCAGCATTCGCGCCTTTCTTGTTTATTGCGTCATCCTGATTCTGACGCAATTCGCTCTCTTGAATCGTCTTTAAATCACCATCCTGATGTCTGTCCGCGCCGTAAATGTAAAGGTAGGATCGATCCAGCGATCGTTTCTTTCTCACTTTCTCCGTCGCGATTCGGTGATTCTTGCGAATTTTCGGGACGTCGCGATAGAAAGGATCGAAGGACTCGTCGCCTTCCTTGTAATCATCGTAGCTGGCCGGTATGGTCGGCAACGGCAACGTCACTAGTTGCGTAGTATTGAGC